TATGCCTAACTAAGCTTGCTTAGTTGGCCCCCCCCGGCTCGAGCCAACGGGTACAGAACAATGCCACTACCACGAAGATCAGTCCCTCAGTGGGTCGGTCTTTGAATGAGCCGGCGGCCGTGCCTCAGCCCTCACTCAGGTTGAGCAACCTAGGAAACAAGCAAGATTACCGGTAGTCCCCAGATTGTTTACATATGTTTATTCCGCCGAGCAATCTCTGTAGATCTCGGCAGGTGGAAACTGGAGGCCTGCCGAGACGGGACCTGATGAGGCACTGATCTACAATTTGAATTACTGATCTCTTGGATCTGTGCATACTGTGTATGTATGTAGGTGTACTGAGTTGGACGAGTCTGTACCATGGCAACCATATGTTGTTGGTTGACGTGGACTGCCGGGGAGTAACAGGATGGGGTTACTATGACATAAATGGTCATCAACTTCAAGCAAAGTCATCACAATTATCTTATTGGACCCTTGGATGCGATGCAATGCAATCAATGCGCGCCCTAGAGATGGAACCACCGGAATAAAAAAATTACGGTACATACGTGCCAAAAGCTGGGTGGGGTCTGCTAATTGAGGCTAAGGTACCTAGGCAGTTTTAGTGGCTTGATACCTGTCGTCATCAGGTCGGTCGGGTCCTCTACCTTAACGAGCATGCCCTGGACATGGAACCTCCCTCCCTCGTTCTCCGTCCAGTCCTTGGAGTCTTCCTCAAACTACTTTTTTAGCTGCCCTAATTTCCGTCTCAACCCATCCCATTTAATCCTGACGTATACACGACACAGCATTTCTTACTACGACTACCTTGACTCACATCTCAGCGTCATTGCTCACTAACCTCCGAAAATCCGTCGCCTTGATCTTGATGCAAGCCGTCTGTTGAGCTGAGCTGGCCTTGCGCCGCTTTCGATCTAGTCAAGCTTAAACCAGCCCATCATGTTTGGAGGTTCAAGGAGGCATCGTCCTCCCACTCAGGTGAGCTATGAGCCGTCTTCATCATCTGCGCTGTTCACTCTTGCGGCTCTTATAAAACCGGTTTTGGCTTTTGGCTTTTGGCTTTTCGCCCGCCACGGAACCCGCTCTGGTAGGCAAAAGCCATTGACTTAAGCTCGCCCTATCGAGACTTGCCGCATTTGTCCTTGTCTTTGATTGTTGTCTTTGGCCTTTATCCCTTGATGCGAACGCTCCCCCTCTCGATCCAATTCTCTTTTCCTTTCCATCGCTTTCGCAATTACACGTCGTTGCTAACATGGCGCTCTCATCTCAGCCGTTGACCCGGGAGACTGCCAATCCCAACGCTGCGACAGCTGCCGCCTCGGCCTTTCTGAGGCGTGAATCGACGCCATCTCTGTCATCGGCTGCTGCAGCTGCAGCTCTAAAGGCTCGACCTACAACCCCCACCAATGTATCGCAGGTGCAATCGAAACGAGTTGCGCGGAGGAGCGCTTCCGTCTCGTCTACAGCAAGTCGGGACAGGAGGAGTCGGGAACTACATCGATCGCCAAGCGCGAGTTCTATGACAGAACGGACCTTTCGATCACCCTCACCTTCGCCAGCACGGGTCGCTGCCCCGCAAGCCCGTGATGTTCCTCCAGTGCCCAAGATTCCCCAGCATGAGCACAACAAGACCAATCCGAAGAGCTCGACTCACAAACGAGCAACAAGCTTGCAAACGCAACATTTCCAAACTGCAAGCCAAAAGATGAAAAACGGACAAACTCAAGGTTCATGGTTTGGGGCAGCTACAGGGAACGATTTGTCTAACGTACGTCGCGCCCCTGCGGCTGATAAACGGGCATCAGCAGATTTACGGCCAAGCAGTCCGAACTCTATCAATTTCTCGTATCCTCGCTCTTTGACAGAGTCTCCAAGCCCATCAAGTAATGCCATGGTGTACGACCCCAATTCGAGACGGATGGTTCCTCAGGCACAAGTTTTGATGATAGATCAGACTGTCCATGATGCATCAGAGAAACCTGTTCGCAAGCAAAAGCACGATGGATCAAGGGCTGGCACTCACTTGTCCAAGGGAACTATTGGGAGACTCAAGGGCACTGCAGTCGAGTCAGCCTCACCACCACCAAAGGCAGTCGCAAGCCCACAAAGCCCTTCGAATACTTATGCGGCGACGGCACAACAGCCTAGGCACCCAGAGGCCGACCTTGAATCTGAGCCCGAATCGGATCCTGAGTCTGAGCCAGAGACCAAGCGTGAGGCGAAGCCTGATCCCAGCTCCAACTCCAACCTGTCAACTGCGCAAACATTGATTCAACGAGAACAAGAACCAGATGTCGAGGCGCCGATACATACGAACCAGACTATTGCAATCCCACCAGCAGTAACAAAATCCGAAGCATCGGTTAGAAAGCGCCCTTGTGTAGTGCATGAAGACCCCGAACTAGAGGAGGAGGGACCACAAGATGCTGCTCATCCGGCGCCTGCCAACGAACACCCAATGGATGGAGTAGATGCCATCCCTGTGAAATCAACCTCGCCATCTCAACAGTCACCGGAAGCTGCACCAGTGCAAGGTCCCAGTGAGACTGTGCGCCGGAGCCGCGTGCATTCTGAGAGTCCTGCCCGCAGCCCTGCCCGTACAACCCATTTTGCTCCCAAGACCGATCAGCTACTCGTTAGGCACGAGCCGCCTCCAAGGTCCTTGTCTCCACGAAAATCCGCACTCAAGTACTCAAGTCCTCGGGATGCATCTCCCTCTGAAGATGGCTCAGATGCGTCTGCTGCCTGGTCAGGTATGGCCGGGCGCGAGGAGACAGAACTCTCGCGGAAGAAGAGCGTCAGGGTGAGCTTTGATGATGGAAATACGGCTGTTATAGGGGAGTCTATTCCATCTTCAGATACAGACTCACCGCAAATAGCCAGCCCACAGTCAAGAAAATCTTGGCATAGCATCATTGGACGAAACAAAAGAGACTCAGTAACTCTGGACGAGGATGAGACCATGACCCCTCGTCCAGCTCTCCCCTCTTTTGGGAGTGTTCGCGAGAAGAAGGTCAGGGAGCCTGAAGAGCGACCTTTGGTTCGACCTATGGAGAGATCGGCTTCACCTCCAGCTACAGATTTGTTGCCTTCAGAACCAAATCACAAAATTCCTGCCCAAGATTTGGTGCAGTCAAGTGATCTGGCTATCGGGTCGGTCTTGGCACAGGAACAGGCCTCTCGCAACGAAGCTAATACTTCCAGATACCGGGAACCACTGCCCCCTGTGGTCACTTCTGTTGATGGCCAAGGGTATATAAGCAATAGTGACCTGAGCTCTGATGATGAATCCGAAGCAGGGATTTTATCTAAATCCCAAGCTTCTGCCGAGCCTGTGTCCGAGACCCAAACAACTATTAGCAACCCTGGCAGCCCCTCTGAGAACAGCTCGGCGAAGTCAAGTCCAAGCGACAGCATACCAACCATTTCAATAATACAACCTAGTCCCCGAATTCCCGATGAAAATCAGGCAGAGTCACCGCAGGACTTCTTCGATGTTCCTGGGGGCTTCCCAGCCGGCCCGACTGATGCTTCAAGCGAAAGGACTATCTCCGAGGACGCCAAGGTATCCTCAACAGAGCCTCGCCCAAGTCAATCACCCAAAGGAGCTGATCAGCCCGCACCAATTGCAACTCGTCGATCCTTTGATTCCACCAGTGCTGTTTCTTCAAATTCACAGATGCATGATATCCAGGAAGAGTCGGAAGAATCGGATGGGAGCAGCATTTATAGTGACGCCTATGAGGATCTCTCTGATATGGAAGGTGATGGTTTCTTGTCCCTTGACGCTGTAGTCGACAGCCCCGTCGAATCATTGTTCTCTCAGAGGGTATTTGAGAAGGCCATCGCAAAATCCAAGGAAACCAATACGTCTCAGCAGTCCACGCCTACTAAAACTTCCTCGCAGAAACCTCTTGAAACACCCAGTGACTGGGAAACGGCAAAGGCTTATTGGAGAAGTTTGAGCCCCAAGGATAGACGCCAGCTCGAGAAGGAGGCCATGGAGGAGTCTGACGAGGAGGACATTCCGGCAGAAGCAACCAGACGCTCGAAACTCAAGACAAAGACTCAAGCGAAGCAAAAGCAGAAACTTGTTGAAGAGCATGTGCAAGAGCCCCCGGGGACTTCGGAAAAAGCCCCTGTCTCAGAAACGCTTCGCAACTCAACTAGAATCTACCAAATTCAACCAGGTACTAGCTGGCCTCGCGGTGAGGTTGAGAAGCCTCTTGCTAAGACACCCGTTACAGAGAAAGTAAAGCAGACTGGAGGCGCCAAGCTGCGAAAATCGATGCGGGCTAGTGAGGCTTCAACAATCAGTCATTCTGAGCCCGTCCATACCGGAGGAATGCGCAAATCTATGAGATCCGGCGCTGCTCCTTCGAGCCCTCAGAATTCGCACGATGGGCATTTACGTAAATCCCTTCGTCAAGAGCCTGAGGCTACTACTGGTGTTGCGATGCGCAAGTCACTTAGGACCAATGGTTCGGCGGCTAATGGGCACAATACTGCTTCTACTGAGGGAAATGGTGGTCGGCCAACGTCTTATCAGCCAGCGACCACGTCGGAAGCGGTCAAATCGCAGCGTCGAGCACATTCCGAAGACAGGGGCCCAACTATGCGATCTACGGCGAAGCCAACCCTTACACGCCGCGGATCTGACTCGAGCGAAAGCAGCTTCCGACGTGCAAAGGCCGGCGGCGGCGAAGGCTTCGGCTTCCGCAGGACAATGAGAGGAAGTACACGGGAACCGCCAGCGGCAGCACCTCCGCCAGAAAGCGCGAGGGGCAGCAGCCGATTCAGCCTTCGGTCTCTGTCGCCTACTGGATCAGCCTTTCGCCGCAATTCCAACACTAGCTCTCCTCCTTCAGTTATATTGGGCGGTCATATGCGTCAGTCACTACGTACTGAGTCCAATGATGCAGGCTCCTCTCGAATGCGGGTTTCTGGATTTGGCCGCTCGTCCAAGGGGAAGAAATCCAAGAGCGGCAGCCGCTTCGATGATTCGAGTGATGAGGATGAGGGCCGTCCAGCCTTCAGAAGTCGTTTCGTCGACTCAAGTGACGAGGACACTCCTTCACCACTACCCAAGCAGAAGCGTGTACCTAAAACAATGCGTAGTTCTGCCTCAAACAATGCTGCTGCCGCCGCTATGAGGGTCCCGCCTGCTCGCGCAGGTGTCCAAGACTCTCCTGACCTTCCTGACAGCGATGATGAGGCAGAGCAACCTCGAGAGAATCTTGCTTCCAATGCGACGGCTATCGCAGTTCCTCGAGCAACATTAAATCGAAGCGGATCGGGACGAGACGCGATTGCGCCGCAGGCTAACAGTGTCGAGATAACAGGTGGACGGCCAGGTCACAAACGACGTGGCAGTTTCATGTCGTCCATTCTACGTCGCAAGAAGGACCCTGCTGACAAGATCTCTCGAAGCACGAGTGAAAGCGCATCGCGTCGGGACACGCACCTGGAACGAGGCCCTGAGCGACTCGCTTTTATTCGAAGCAATAGCGAGAGCCAGGCACATGGCTCGCGTCTACACAAACGCGGAGCAAACTGGCCTCTCCAGGGCCATCAGAACACTCATGAAGAGGAGGATCAGTTCGACGACGGCTCTCAAAATACATACGTCGTTGACGAAGAAAAGCGCCCCTCCACCGCTGGCGGTCTGGGTCCTGCTCCGTCCTCCCCAACAACAAAGACGGGCTTCCTCAAGCGTCGCAGTACTTCCCACAGCCAAATTGGTGCTGCCAACCACGGCGTCTCAGCTTCAATTGACGGCTCAGAGGTCGGCACGCCCAAAAAGAAGAAGTTTGGGACATTGCGCAGGATGTTCAAGCTTGATGATTAGTAACGTCTCATGTCGGCTTTCCCCAGGTACCCTTTTCTTCGTACCGAACCATGCTTTGCTACATTACACATTGAACTTGTTCCTCTTCTTTTAAGAAACTCAACACACTCGCTCAAGTATCGCTTTCTTCGCGAAGCGAATTCTCATCCCGTCCTCCTACTATAACGCGTCATCGATTTTTGGTATAAGTAACGGATTGGGCGGCTCAGCCTGCGGAACTGATTAAGTCGGTTGGACAAAACATACGGTGCAAACCTTGGATTTCAAAAAGATTAAGAGTAATATCTATTAGCTATTTTTTCCTAAGTTCTCCAGTTTCATGGCTTTAGTATTAGATACCAGTATTATCAATATCAGCATTAACAGTTGGAATGTTTCCTTCTCGCAAAAGATCACACGATTCCCAAAACATATTTGCCCACTTTGGTACTTGCTTCTGAGCCAATGGTCCTGCATCATATAGCAAGAATTTGGGAAATATATGCGGGCCGCGGATGTTTCATGCATTCGCTCACCATTCCGTGATCCTGCACCTTAAGCTTACGGAGAAAGAAGCATTTTTGCTCAATATGTAAGCTAGGCCCTTGTTTATAAATGGTATACATAGCCGTCGTGAGACCTAACCACGACACAGAACAACGGTGGCATGATGACTTTTAGGAGTACAAAGAATATTTTAGTTTCTGGATCGCGACCTATCACCGCTTCGTGCCTTTTCTCGTTCAAGCAGTAGTGTTAGCTGGCTTTTTGTGCGTCCTAGGGGTACACTAGCTGTTGTAGTAGGAGGAGTTGGGGTGAAACGAGCATCGAGTATAGAGGGCTGTGGTGGTACATGGGGGATGGTGTGATGTTCGAGTCGTGAATGGTCGACAGTACTCAAGTCCGACGAGGATCCAAACCCGGATTGATCGAGAATTGTGCCAGTCACCGCAATGTTGGATGTCGATGAGGTGGCTTCTGTAAAGAGTCCAGGTGCTCTGATGTTGTTGTGCGGTTGTGATTCATCATACCCTCCATGGGAATGGGATCGTGCCATATGGAGGGTTTCCTGACTCCTTCCACTCTCAAGCGATCCCACTCCGAAAGTCGACCTTGAGGAAGCCCCCGACCCTCGCCGCGATCCGTGGTTCGCAAGATTTATGAGAGAACGAGCTTGAGGGAGCACACCTTTCTCTCGATGAATGCTTCGAGGTCGATCTTTAGGGGATGAAGGCTGAATTTCTTCTTCTATCACGTCCGCGACGACTTCGTTTCTGTATGTGACGGGCCGGACAGGAACTGCGGGTTGCTTTCCTCGTGCCTTCTCACTCATCGGATATGGGCGACCTTCCCTGGTCATCCCATTCATGTCCCTAGGGGCTGGTTGGTCGTATTCCACGTTTGTGCGAGCAACGTGAAGTACGGGCCGCTGCAGCGTGCCATTCCTTAGCCCGCTCGACTTTCCAGCCCGGGTTTCTCGAACAGCCGGTTCCGCGCTTGATAATGATTTGCTTAGCTGAGTGGCTTTCTTACTCGTGACGGGAGATGACGGGGCAAGTTTCTGGGGGGGTGCAATGGTCATTTTCTTCTTCGGCGGATCCGTTACATACACGGGCGCCTCAGACACTGTCGCGGCTGTGCTCCCTGAAGAAGGTATCTCGTCCTCATCAGCGGATTCATGGGGTGATACAAAACGAGCGGTTGGCCGAGGCCCCGATGATGATGGCCCTCGGGCTTTTTTCAAGATTGGGTGGGCGGGTGGCGGCTTTGAGGCACTTGAAGATAATGTTCTTAACGCTGAGTCGGTGGGTTTTGAAGGGCGAGACCCTTGGGTTTGTGTCAGTGATGAGGTTGCCTGAGACTCAGCAGCTTCTAGAATCTGTTTGATCAGGGGTGGTATCTAGGCAGGTCGTGTTAGTTGTCCATGAATGTCATTGTGCGAAGATCAGCCTCAATGGCACATACTTCGGGCCCTTCCCATCGATTTGGCGGTCCTTTGAGAGGGACGAAGGTTGGTCCAACCGAGATCTCCTCATAGAGTTTTGCCAGGGCACTACCCTTGAGAAACCTGCGATCACTTCCCCAAACATGCCACCAAAAGTTTTCAAGTCGGCAAGCAGTCGGATCCTTGAGCTTCTTATATGTGGTCGTATACACTAGGAAAGCATGAGTGGTATTCAATGGCTAAGGGAAGATTGGAGAGTTACCATGCCAGTACTCCCAAACCTTGTCAGGGGGGACCAAAGGGAAATCAGCAACCTCTTTATAGATGTTTTTGGAATTGATGACAATGCCCTTTGGCAGTATCATAGGCATATACGAATCCATATCTGAGGATTTTGAAGTCTTCGGCAGCCTCCGCAACGGTAGGATGTGCACTTGGTGTGATCAACGCACGGCTGCTAATGCCACCCAGTGATTTTTCGGCGTAAAAGTGTTTATCGACAACTAGCAATGTGAAGCATGGTCGCTAAATTCAATAATAAGTGAGGGATAACGGGCCTATGGTGGAATCAACAGAGGTTAAATGATTGCAGGCACACAGTGTCACTCGATGAATAGCGATAGCCAATCTCCGTTATTTTGGCCAATCTCCAATTTAGGTGCCGTGAACCACTGACACAGTTGTTTGGAAGCTTTAAACCCGAGGCAAAGGATTGTTCGCTAGTCAATGGCTTCTGGATCGCTGAAGTTGTTGTTCCAACGGTCTTGTGATCGGGCAACCAAAACTGGCTTGGGAGATGCAGCAGTTGGCGATTGTTAAGGGCACACAGACGCTGCAGGTTATACAAGTTTTTTGTCTCTGTTCTTGTTTCGTTCTTCTCGCGTGGATCAATGATTGTCGATCTCCCTTCGGGAAAAAACAGCGTTGCAAAGAGAACCTCAACCCTCGAGATGGCTCGTGACTCGTAAGCTCGTGACGCAAAAATTGGCTTCTCGTGTGCAAAAAAGCGGCGAAAGTAATAAACTGTGGACCTTGTGCTGGTGAAGCGAGACAACTTTGGTGAGTGAAACTCGAGTGATGCAGTAGAAAGCTTAGCTCGGCGTGAACTTTAGCTTTTGGCTTTGGTTGTGAATTAAATCGAGGGCCGTTCAGGTGCCGTGTAAGTGTAACAGTGTGTTCGGGGCCGTTTTGTTACATCTACAGGTTGAAGCCTCTTTTAGGAACGAATAAAGTCTGCGCGTCAAGAGGTTAGGGGCACGAAAAGAAGAATGGACAGTTGAAGATATAGAAAATCCAGGGTCCGGAGGTAAAAAAGTCTGTACCTGCTAGTGAACCGAAGAAAAAGACGGTGGAGAGCCGGTGGAGGGCCTGATGACAATGGCTGAAGATATCGAGTACTTTGAGCTGGATTTCATGGGTACGTTTCGGACTACTAAATTCGTTGGGTCTGTATACATGAAAACTTCAATAGTGGCGGCGAAGTCGGAGGCGGTAGCTGATGCTGGGTTCGAGGTGTGAAAGAGTACCTCTTTGTAGAAGTCAAGTTGTCGGAAGACTCCCACGTCTTCATAACCCGGTGCCGATTAGCTTCGGAGCTGATGCCGTGCCGAATCAGCACTTTTCAAAAAGACACGGAGTTGCAAGAATAGATAACAAGATCGGTGTGTCGCAAAAAGCTTGTGCAAGGCAGTCGTTCCTATAGTTTGCTTGTGACGACGGGAGGGAGGGCAATTGAAAAGGAGTCCCGTCCGCTTGGTCGGCCAAGATGGCGGCGAAAGACGGTGGAGAGACAGACGAACAAGGTCAGGTACCTTCCGGAGAGGCCGCTACTTCGCTGACCGGTCCAGGCCACAATGATCCAATTTTGATGAATGAGTACCCTGACAGCGGAATGAAACAAAGCCTCTGCCTCGACGGGAGAGCCAGGGCGCCAGGGGGCCGGGTTCCAGCGACTTATCGCCCAGCACGTTTATCTCTTTGGTGGAGGTGAGGTGAGGGATGCTTGTCACCTCATCTGAGGTGCTGTCGAGGCTAGTACGTACTGCGTCGTAGTCTAGGTACCTTACCTCAAGTATTGTGCTTGAGTAGGTAGTAGTAGGTGAAGTACCTATAGGTAGGTAGGGTATCCCTCCACAGACAATAGTGGACTTGAGGTGCTATCGGGTGCTGGAGCTGTAAGTGAGAAGCCAAAAGCAAGCACGCAAGCCACGAATGTCAGGGAGGAAACAGTGCAGGTGCTGCTGGAAGAAGAGACGTAAGACTCTGTGTGAAGAAGTGAGATGGAGTGGAATACAATACCGAGGAGACGTCAAATTAAGAGGTTGGAGAATAAAATAAAAGTAAAAACAGGATGGGGAAATGGGAAAATGGGAAACCTCGACCATGGGCTTTAAGATGGCCTGGACTGGAACTCGAGCTCTTTCCGTTGGTGATCTGGGTTGACGATGGGGCTGTTCCTTCCCTAGCTTAGCTCTTCATGACCTTTAGGAAGCTTGGGAAGGCACCCGCGGAGCAGAGCTTGGCGGGGCTTCGAAGGTTGGAAGGTACCTAAGGTAGTGGCTGTCCCGGGTCTAGGTACCTACAGTACGTGCCCTGGGGTTTAGTTAGTAACTTGTCTTGGGAATGATTCAGAGAAGCTTATGGCTACCTACCTATATCATGATGACATGACGCAAGGGATTGGAAGAACCAGGATTTAATTGATATATGTAATACGCGAGCAGATCTGCTTGGTAACTATCTCGTAGCAAAAGAGCCAAACAATACCAACTTATTCCTCAAACTAGATGAACTTCTGGAACCCACCTCACAGACAAGACAAGGGCAGTGGATGGAAAATACACGCTAGTAGGGGGGGTTACACTGGAACCTGAACTACCGGACACGCGGGCACCCTGTGACGTGCGTGCCCTTCCATGGGCCGAACCTGAGCTCACGGGTTTCTATTCTCACATGGGCATGGACTTGGGCTGACCTCGACTAATGATGATGATTGGGGCTTTTTGACCCAATTTTAGATCCAGATTATGTAGTGTAGTAGCCTTTATCAATTCTACGTACGTAGGTACCTACACAC